TTCCGCCATGCTTAGCTCTAGTGGAAGTTGTCTTATTGTATTCAGATCGCGTTATTGGAGGCATGGTACGATAATTTTGGTTTGTGTTATCCGCTATATACTTGCATAAATGTATTGCGTCTACATGCAATCGAAACATTTGCATGCTGTCCAAGTTTTACTATAAGACCGTTCTCTAAGCCGATGCATACTCGATCATACACAGAACACATTGGCTACAGCAGTGTCTTGAAATCCGAAATTGTATTGGAAATCTACACACTACACACTATGATGTATTTGAGCCTCACGTCAGCATTAAGATGCTTCCCTACTGGGCTTTCGCTGTATTCCTTTGCAGCATGACAATTAGCCATGTACTTGTACGGAGCAGGTGTCATAAAAACAAACAACCAATGTGGCAATGACGAAAACCCCGGCATAAGCTCAAGGCCTCCTCACCTCAAGGCCTTCTCCGACCTGGAGATAAGCCTGTATTTGGTGGCATATGAACAGTCTGTATTTGCCTTCAGTGCTTATTGATGCAACGATAACAAAGTGATGTTTTCATATTGTTGCCAAATCAACGGAAACATCGGGATCTCCGAAAAAATGAGAAGCAATATTGTGTCGAAAAAGCCCGCTCAAAGCCACCTTAGCTATTTCAAATTTTACATACATCGTGCATGCTTTAGATTAAGTTTAAGGCTTCAAAAAGTTCTTCTTTGGTGTTAAATCATATTGTTTCAATCAGGACTGTTTCAAACAATAATTAATCTCAGCTGCTTCTGTTGAAATCTTCGTACCCTTATGTGCACGTAACAAAGATTATCACATCCGTGATTCGAAACTACCCTAGTGGCAATTTATGACCACTTTCCTTCTTTTTTCAGGCATATCTTGCAAGAGTACCCGAAAAGTAAATATAACGTCTCCAACTGATGACGATACCCACTTCAAATTTTAGTGTTTACATTATTGGACCACCTAGGAATTATATTTGGAACTGCGACATGCCTGCACAACATCTTGAATCAAAAGTAGCTGGTTTCCGTTTAAGGAACAATTATGGATTAGCCGTATGTTGAACGCTGTTCAATTTCTGCATCCCCACTTCGGCATTCGAATCTGCCTATGCCGAAAACCTCTACGTCACAATCTGCATCAGCTGTTACCACAATGCCTGCGATTGGTCATGAGGGTAGCTGCGGAGGGGAATGCAGGTTCATGCTTATGCTTTTGTCTCAGATCTATTCACCTTTACCCACTGCCTGATGCACGGGTGGCAGCGCGTGGAGGTTGCATCTATAAAGGTGCCCAATGGGCGTTTGAGTTACGGTGTTTCTCGTCGCCACCGACAGCCCTGTGGCCGTAAAATTGAGTCCGTGGTGGAAGCCGGAAAGGCTCGTTATGTGACAGTTGGCTTTTGCTGTATGTGTATGCTGATGCCAAACTGAGGATAAACTTTTCGGTAGATGTTGGATAGCCACTATGACCATGGTTAACGCCTTTTATATCGTTTGCGTGGTCTTAGCATAGGGCCTAAACACGTGTCTATGACGTGGTTAAGGGGGGGATCATAGATAAGGAGGGGGGATGTAATGTAAGACATTTCGGATCAGGGTTGAATAGGCCAACTGAAATATGAGGACGGGGGGGGGGGGGGGGGGGTGGGTACAGCCTGACAGAAAGTAGTAATTTCAGCGCAAAACCTATCAAATACGTGAATTTGCCAAGCAAACAAAAACCCGTTTCGCGAAATTGAGGGACATCTCCTTGCCGCGTTAGTTGATGTTAGTATACTTTCTTATAATTGAATGCGCACATGTCACTTAAAAACACATGACAAGATACCATCTGCGATTTGAAATGTACATGCAAGCCCAATCATCATTTCGCTGATTTGAGAAATGCCAAGTCATTATTGTTATTCATTGTGCAGGCCCTATGTTAAAATCCCAGACTGTTGTGGGTGATCTAAGCCTCGTGAAAGTATATGAACAGCGCCCTTGATGCACCCCTCCCACCTAAAAACCCCACCCACAATTACCATACGGCGTTCATCACGCGGCTGTCCGATGAACTCACGTCTATGCTGTTGAAAATCATCGACTATGGCGTAGCACTTTCGGTGAACTTTTCATGATTGAATACGCAACCTCTCGTTTCGCGTGGGGGTGGGGGAAGTTGCCCTCAAAGGTTTCTTGGAGGTACCTCTCCGGTATGTTGTGCAATCGCGCCAAAATTTGCGGTGGCCTGTGTGGCATCTATTACACCTTTTTGACACCAAAAACGTGCTCCTGGCGTTTCTAGTCTCTGAAGAGCGGCAGCATTTTAGGAATGCCGCACGGCAATCCACCGCCGGAACGGGCGGCGGCCGGTGACTGACATTCCGCGGACTTGCAAAGGGCCGGCACTGTCGCATCGAAGGAGCGCTATATCATAAACCTAAGCTCCGGCACATCAAATTACATGCCATTTTAATCAGCGGCAATGAATACGCATGTACGAGTTTCGTATCATCACAGAGCATGGTGCTGTACACATGAGCATGAAAAACCGAACAAGTTGGGACTGTGGTACCATATTAACTTGGACCTGGCCTAATGTGCAATTTTCAATCTAGCTGCGTTCAACTTAAAATCAGTGGTAAGATCTCCCATAGAGCAATACAATGTAATTTTTCCGCCATGCTCCACCGTCTTTTTAATCTGAGAACGGCGCGCAGTCACGTCACTCCTCCCCCCCCCCCCCCCCCTCCCCCCATCAGTCTGTTTTATCAAAGACGGCGAATCATGGCGAATGTTATTATCTGGCTTACAGTTTTGCCCAAAATGTCAGGAGCTGGAAGGCCATTTCTTCCCAGCCCGGGGTAACTAACAGCTGCTAGTCTACCGATGCGGGTACCGGGACGCCCTGGTCAGTCCAGAGGCCCTCAGAGGAATACATCATGCACCGGTCCCATCCCTGGTGCGGCGGGACATCTGGCACAGGTTTGACGCCAACGCTTAATTGGCGCCGAAACACCAAGCAGGCTTGTCAACCCCTGCCTCCTGGATGAAACGGTGCGGGGGGCCCTCGTTCGGTCCCGCGACCTCTGACTGACGGAGGTCACTGTCTCATCGCGAGTACAAATCGCTGCTTTGTCATTTCTCACTTGTCCTGTCATTGTCAAGAGAGTCCAGACCAACGCAACAGGCTTTTTCCATACGAGATCCCACTCCTGTTCCTGATCAGCAAATGTGTCCATGCCTGACATTGGGCTTACTGCCAACACAAGGCCCCTTGATGGGCGCTGTCAGCCTCTGATCAGCACAGAGGTCGGGCCAATACTCGATGTTTGAGATTAACATTTGCAGGCCCAGCGCTGCCCCGACTTAAAAAGAGGTCCGAAGTCCCAAAACCGTCGTGGGACAGAGTGTTCGGTGTTGCGTACTTGCTGATATCCCTTCACCCTCCCGGCCAGCCTTTCAGACCCTCCAACTGAACCCTTGATCGTCGTTCTCTCGGGCCCGAAGGGCTCCTCGGAACCTCGGGACCTCGAGACCAAAGGTAGGTGGCTCGTCCCCATCCCACCGATTGTGGCACCCTTGGTTCCTCGTGAAAATAAAATAAATACGGGCAATTTATGTGCCAATGGGTTTCACGCAACTTGAGATTAAAGGGATTCGAGGACATCGTGGTGCATCGCTAGAAGAAGGTGCATTCTCAAAATACGTCCCGCGCCGGCTTCTAACCACTATTGTAATGCTAACTACTCTGGACTTTTTACTACTCATAGCTCCTCAGATTAAAAGCAATACAACACAAGGACATCTAGTAAGTTAAAGGTAGTGGTCTACATTTAAAGATGTTGAAGCAAGCATCATATGTGATGAAGTACATATGATGTACAAAAAATACATATGAAATACAAAAAAAACTCAGTTAAAATTACTGGTAGGTTTTTAAGTGGAGAGACTGCTCCGTATGCCAGTTTCTCTATATGGCTGAGCTATTTCTCTTCCCCAAAACTATTTAGTGCATTAACCAGACGTCCTTGTGTGGCACCGCACTTACGTGCTTCCAGGTATTAGTCGTCACACTTGACGGACTAAATTCGTTTCTCTCCTGCCTTTGAACTACATTTATGCAACCCGTAATCTCCTGCTACTTACCTGGAAAATATTTATTCCTATGTGGCGTTCTGCTTTGTATGCATATCTCCAACTTTCTAGCAGGGAGTGCCGAGGCCTAGCAATTTTGTGTTCGTAAGTTTGGTGTTAATGTACGGCTCTACGCACCGCGCTAGATAGGGGCGGGCACGCTTGGTCACCCATTTACAGATGATGGGTAGAAAAAAATGTGATGTCGGGTTGCAGACGGATGACAGAAGATGCGGTCTGACTCCAAGTTCCAGAGCCGTTCAGTCCAAATCATGTCCATCAACTGGAAATATGATCCCAACAGCTTGAAACTATGAGTGTTGCTGACATTGTCAGTAGCGAAATACAGAGTATTTCAGCTGTCACGTCGCCCAGGTTTCTCAAATATTAAGGCTTGCCTCCGCTATTTATTTGCTTTCCAGTGGCTTGTGGAAGTAAAGCTAGAGCGCTGTTCCCTATGCAATGCAACCAGGGCAGAAATCTGGCATATTCATAGAAATCCGGCACGCAGAGGATAATTGCTTAACAGTCCCTTTACGCCAAAGCCCTCCGGTCTGGACCTGGCTCGGCGGAACCGTCAGGCCATTGATTGTGACCATCCGAGCATCCCTTTTCCCCCTCAGGCACCTGCGTGTTAGCCGTCGAATGGTGCGCCGCCAACGCCAACCACGACGCATTTCGGGTGTCCATGCGCCAAAAAGCAAAACCTTTGTTTCTCTTAACCACCGCCGGGCGTCGCTATCAACCCTGTTAGCGGCGTTCTCGGCACGTGCCGTCACTAAAAAACCAGTCGCTGGCGCCGATGACAGCGTCGGATTTGGCGCCGAAGCTCCACTTGAGGTGCTACACGTATACGTGGTTGGGACGTAGACCAATACCCCCGGACTCGCGTTGTTTCGAGTGTAGTTATGCGTAACTGCACCTGGTGTGTAAAAAGAAGCGTAACTGACAACTGGTGCCTTAAACTCTGCGTCCTACTGGGTCTACTGGCCTAGATTCTCGTCCTTTCCGCCCACCTCCGATTTCTCCGCCACCAAGGTAAGTTGGTCCTTGGGGATATTGTTCCTGGGAAGCCTATGGGGAGATAACTATATAGTTACCACGGAGGCATGCACAATCCGGTGGAATACTTGTACGTGTTGGAATATTTAGAGCACTTCACAACTGAATTGTCAGGATCCGGTCCAGTCTGATCTTGCTAATCCAGATCGAATTCGCCCGCAAATCCGCAAATCTCGTGGTGGTGGAGGGTAACGTGACGTCACTGGGGCCTTCCCCTCAGCGAACGTCGCGCGTTGCACGACCCTCCGGGCGGCGACGTTGCTCGCCAGTTGGTTTCAGCCATCGTGGCTGTTGCATTTAGACTTTGGAACAAATAACCATTCTGTTTTTGTATTCGTGCTGGCAATGTTTGCCGATGTCATTTTATGAAAGTGACCTCGGTTCGGATTCTGAACCGAGCTCAGTGTTGGAAAACTTGACGTTTCCTGGTATAACGTATGCCTGGAGATTTTGTACTCCAGGGTTGTGACTAGGTAAAGTGAAATATTTTGTACTCCGTCATGATGCAACAACATCAGCTTTTGGAGAAACTCAGTTCACCTCTTTGTGTCAGGACAAAATAAAACCAGAAGGTGCGACAGCTTGAGACTCTCTGCTTCCATCAGGAGCCATGTTTTGATATCTCCAAGAGTACAAATCTTGCACCCACCAAACTAAGATACTCATACATGAATAGATAATGATACATTAACACGCGCTCGGGTGGGAGGGGGGGGGGGGGGAATTGACCCCCGAGGGCTTTTCCCCAATGGTTTCTGAACGACGCGGCTTAGCCGCGCCAAATTTTGCATAGCTGTGGAAGATTGCGTAGCGGATCGTTTGACATAAAAATTTTAGGTGTCCCTTGTAAGGTCGCTGACCCATGACAGGTCAAAGTCTGCCCATGGTTTCAACGAGGGAAATTTCGAGGGAATCGTTCAATCTGATACAACAACGGAGTGTTTGACGAAAACATAGATTTCTGAGAAGCTTTCTTAGGCACCACAAATATTGAATGAGCAGGCTACGTTGACCTAAGGTCAGGTATAAGGGTCAGACCAAGGTCAAAACCAACCTGATTTATTACTCTAGGGCTTGTTGTATGGGATAGTTTCTGGTGTTCATGTAGAATTTATTGGCAGCAGGAACCGCATTATACATCTTACATTTGCTTCTTAGAGGTCAGAACAGGCCATTGATCGAAGATGACCAGGGCCGAACTTTTTGTTTTAGGAACATACTGCCTAGCGTAATCTTTGTAGCTTATTCAAATGCAAAACTCAGAGCAGTCTTGTATCATTTTGGTCACCATGACCTTTAAAAGGTCAAACAAGGCCAATGACCTCAAATGGGCTTGTGACATTTTGCTTAGAGACTGTTGCCTAGGTTTTGGGGGCGCTTTGGAGACCAGCCTGGAATTTGACTTGTTTGACCTTATTTGACCTGAAGATGATGACCTAGGATGCTAAAACTTTCACCTAAGTGAGTTTACGTATAGGTTGAACCGCCCTGTAAATTTTGTGTGTCTATCGCTCTTAGTTCTAGAGATCCCAGAGGGGAAGGGTCAAATTGACCCCTCACCCGAGCGAAGAGTATCTAGCCGGTTATCTGGGCGCTTGTTAAAGCATAGTAATTTCATGACAGTATTATGAGCATAACAAATTATTAGCACCAATAATTTGATGTTGCATTTTTGAATTCCCTTCCACAGCACTTTTAAAACAGAACAAAGCAAAGTAATTCAATAACAAAATAACAACAGAAAGTTCAACAAGCATAAAACACTCAAACAAAAAAAAAACCTTAGGCTCCTACACATCAGCCCATCACCAAGTCAAACACAATAGGCATACTTCTGGCTTCTGTTAAGATGGGGTCAGGGAAAACAAACATTTTGTCACTGTTTCAAAATACCAATGCTTATTTCCATGAAAGTAGCCTATGCCTAACCTAAAGAGGCCTTACATCATCTCATCCTGTTTGACATGTGTGTATCACAGCAGCAGCTGTGAGTTACTGATTCTTGCACAATTCCTATCGCAACTTGCCATGCACTTGACCAACTTAACCTAACTTAGAGTAGCCAATATGATGAACATCATCTCAACTCACGTATCTATTGACAGAAGCACTTGCGATAAAAGCATGATACCGAAAGCTAGTTTTTGGCTAGTTTCGACTTGCATTTTTATTCAGTTCATTTGTGTATGCTTGTTGACATCAGACAAATTTGAAAACACACAAATCAAAGCATTTAAATCACTGTGAACAACTTATTTTGATTGTCATGGTTAACCTATGTCAAGGGCAGTAATGGGTATGCTCCACAAAACAATCTTCTCTAAAAGTTACACAACTTTTAGATGACCATGCCAGTATTGCTGCTTGCCTTTTCAGCTGCAGCAAATGCATCCATTTAGGCTTGTTTATTCATATTTAATGACAAAGTTTGAGATGTTGGCTTCACATTTTAAACGGGATGGTCTGACTATTTTTTACATTCTAATATTTAACTCATATTATAATTGCTATGCATCTTAGAGTATCCCTGTGTTAAAGATATAGTGCATATATACTGTACAGTAATTTGCCGGCCAGCAAACCATGACAACTATAGAAAGGTATGGTCAAAGCAGCCATGAGGGACCACTTTAAGAAATTTGGGGCAAATAACCAAGAATATGGAACAAAATAAGCCGATTGCATGCCTTGTGGCATCATAATTTGTCTGATGACAAAACTCGATGGATTAAAACAGAAAGTGGCAAACTCTGGTTACCAATCATGTGTTGAAGGCAAGTAAGGTAAGCAATTAATTGGTCTACAGGAGACTTACTGGCTTCTTCCCGCTCCCCCCCCCCCCCCCCGAAAAGGTCAGTACCTTTTGCATGGTCCGCTGGCAGGCAGAGTCATCCCACTCACCCCCAAATATAAATATCAATCATGCCCACCAGCCTACGAGATTAAAATGCGAAACAAACAAGAGATATGCATGTTAAACATCTCTAAAGGGCAGAATTTCGCTATCAAACACTTCTGTATTAGCTGCGTCAGGTCCGTCCCAAGGCTCTGTATGACAGCCTTAGCGTGCCCTTGCCAGGTAGCCTGGTGAGTTAGACACTCGAAAGGGCCTAGATTTATCATTATTGAGCACCGCCATGAACCAAGACAGCGGTTAACCGAGGATTTAAGAGAGCAAATATGGCGGTAAAAATAAGTTCCGTGCTTCAAATTTTCTCCTTCATTCCCTGTGACTTGTTCAAGATTGGGTGCATATCAAACATGTTTGGGCGGCTGGCGAATTAATCCAATGTATGTATGAAATACGTACAAGCTTGCAGTTGGAACATCTTGTAGAGAAATCGGTCAAAATTTAAGGCAGCAATGGTACCTCTAAAGGCAGTCAAAAAGGAAGGAAGAATGAAGTGGTATCACACTTGTATGACATCAAGGAAAACAAAAATAGCAAAATAAATATAAAGACTGGTACTTTTCTCGCAAAACTTTGTTATCAGCTGATTTGACTTAAGATCTGTTAATAGAAGTGCTCAAATGGTGATATTCATCTTGTAGGTTTCATTTAGAAGACATTTCTTGAATTTTTTACTCCTGCATTTCGGGAGTGATGCAATTTAGTGGTCAAGTTTCCTCGGGAAGAAAGAAATACGTGGAGTAAAATTATCTACCAGGCCTTGCTGGTGTTTGCGCCAGGCTCTGCTTTCGTGGTGTGGTAGTGAGGCCAAAAAAAGGGGATGTGTGAAAACCTTGCATCTGGCGCACAGCTGCAGATTGTGATGCATTTTGTAAACAAACCAAACTTAATGCGTGCAAGCGGCTGGGGTCGCTGGGATTCTTGGACTTGGAGGTAACTGGCACCCTTGCTCTGTGCATACATAGACATGATTCAGATGTAGGTGAGGCAAGACATAGCCATAGGTGTCCAGGTTCTGTAGAGCATCGTTTATGCTTGGTGGTTTTAAGTGAGCTCGGTTTTGGATGACATCTAACAACCTCAGAAAGGGCAATAGGGGTTTGGCATGTGCAATTAGACAATGTCGGGCTGGAGTGAAAAATTCACATAAAATATGGGGAAAAGGAGTGAAAAATTCCTCCTCATAGGGTGTTGCTTTATACCGAAAGTCGGCAATTCTAGGACATTGGCGAAAGCGTCTTAACTATTCAGCGGCTCGCGCCTGACTCCCAGCTCAGGTTGAAGGTTGAGCAATAACAAAGCTCTCCAATTGGTTTAAGTGATTCGCCTCCTCGTGACTGATTTGTCAAGAGCATAAATATTCTGCTCGTGCTCATACCTTGAACAGATTTGGAAACATTTGGAGGGAAGCTGTATGGAGATGAATATCACGATTATCAAGAAGGAATAATTTGTACTCATCAAGAACCGCCATGTGGTTGGATTTTTGGCCACTTCCTAGTATCTAGGGCATAAAAATGGTACGACAGCTGTGGATTAAACCCAAGTTAAATTTGTCACTTCAGGGTGTGAAATTAAAGCTGGTAATACAGGCTTTACAAAAAATACCCTTTTAATACAAAAAACGTTGCTACAAATAGCCAAAAACTGTTCGGAGACAGCCATCTCACTCCGCCAAAAACACCAGGATATCAGAGTAACATGAAGCAATAACTTTGGCCCGGTAATTAAGGAGAAGGGTTCATTAGGACAAAAAGATCAATTAATTGCAACCTAAATCATCATATTCGC